AAGAAAGTTTTGGCCCCATGGAGCCTCGATTGTGGGGTTCCACAGGGGTTGATCATCTCTCCAATGATGTTTAACATCTACATGAGGCCGTGGGGACATCATGGGGTGTGGGGCATCATGTCATCAGTATGCTGATGACACACAGCTCTACATCTCCTTTTCACCTACTTCAGTGGATGCCGTTCCGTCCCTCCAGCACTGCCTGGAGACTGTATTGGAATGGATGCAGTCGAATGGGTTGAGGCTGAACCCGGACAAGACGGAGGTCTTGAGGGTGGGTGGTCCTTTCATCAACGGTTTGGGTGACTCCCTTTCTTTTGGGGGGTTGACCCTCACCCCAAAGAGCGAGGTTTGCAGCTTGGGGACACATCTGGACCCAGTGCTTACCATGGAAACCCAGGTAGTGTCTGTGGTCCATTCCACCTATTTTAACCTATGGCGGATTGCCCAGTCGCGACCATATCTTGATTGGGGGGCCCTCACTACTCTTGTTTATGCGCTCGTAATCTCGAGCTTAGACCATTGTAATGCACTCTACGTGGGGCTGCCTTTGGGATTGATGCGGAAACTTCAAATGGTGCAGAATGTGGCAGCTAGGTTCCTTAGCGGGGTGAGAAAATATCAGCATATCTCCCCCACCCTGGCTGCTTTTCACTGGTTGCCCATTCGTTTCCGCATTGATTTCAAAGTTTTAATGATGACGTATAAAGCCCTAAATGGTTTGGGACCTCAATACCTGGCAGATCGCCTTCTCCCACCCAGGTCTACCCGAATCACTTGACAAAGCCAGCAGGGACGGCTGAAGGGCCTTATGCCGAGAGAGGCCCGGATGGAAAGAACAAGAAACTGGGCCTTCTCAGCAGTGGCCCCTCGGTTGTGGAACACTCTCCCAACGGAAATCCGCCTGGCTCCCTTGCTGGGCGTTTTTAAAAGCCATTTAAAAACTTGGCTTTTTAGGCAGGCTTTCCCCCCAGTCAATTAATTGTTCTTTGTTTCTCAATTATCTCATCTTGATAATCTATATATGCATCTTTTAGGTTTTATTATTATGTATGTGATTGTATTGTATTGTATTTTATTGTATTTTATCACTCCTGTAAGCTGCCCCGAGTAGACTTTGTCTAGAGGGGCAGGGTATAAGTCCAAATAAAGTAAAGTAAAAGTGCTGGTGAGACTGTGTCTTGTGTCAGGTTGGTTTGAATGAATTTGCTTCGGTACCTGAATAGCCAGAGTGCTTGATTGTAAACCAGGCCTAAGCAGTTACGAGAGGGGCGTTGTTTTCCTTTCCATGCTAGCTTCTTTGTCTCCTTCCCAGGAGGCTCCCTCACCACCACCCCTTGCCTCTTGCACCCCCTTCCCCCCCCCATCTTTTGTTAGGACTGCTTCAGCTGTTATTTGTTCGTGGAGTATTTTATAGAGGGAAAGCTTCCTTGCAAGCGCCTTCGTGGGTCGTTTCTATGTCAAGAAGTTCATGAGGTGGAAAGTTAACCATAAAAGTTTGAATTGGTTGGTTTTTATGTTTCTCTGGTGTAACATGTTTGTGAAACGGGAGCTCTCAGGCTTAAGCCCATGCATGCAGAACTACTTGGAAAAGGCAAAAGTCTCTTTGCCATAAATTTGCAGGGCGGAGGCGCCTTCGCCAGCCTTGTGGTTTGTCTCAATCTGTTAAGGCACAACAGCCCACAGGCTGCTTCCTCCTGAGCTCCTCCTTTAGATCATGGGTTGCATAATTCATTTACTTCATTTATTTATTTATTTATTTATTTGATTTATATCCCGCCCATCTGGTAGGTCAGTACCACTCTGAGCGGCTCATAGACCTCTCTTGACTGCCTGCAGCCTCTCTCTGCCTTTGTATCCTGAGGAACTTGCTTATAGTGATGAGCAGCTGAGCAAGATTAAGTGCATCTAACATAGCAGTGTGTGTCTGGAACACCGATCCAGACCAGGGTGCATTGAATTCATAGTTCCTGCCCCGTGGCCTTTGGATTGAGGCGGTTCACCTATAAGAATGAGGAGGCCGAGTGAGACATAATTTGCAGCCTTTTGACGATGCTTGGGTTGGTCATTGGTTTGAGAAGAACGTGATAATAATCTGTTCTGGGCACATGTCGCTGGGAGCCTCCAAGGAAAGATGGCTTCTTTTCATCACATTCTTCCCCCCACCCCACTCCCCCTTCTCTTTGAGCCTGCTGTTCGGAAGGTCCCTTGGGACTGGCTCCTATATAGGCTGCTGCATACCTAGTGAGGGGAGCGCACTGTCAGAAACTGGCAGGGGGGCATGGTTAGCAGCAGAATCTCCAAGTAGTTCCCTTTGTGGGAGGAGGGGGTTGTGCCCCCACCATCTACGTGAGAATCTCTTGTTGTTGGGAGAGGTTGCTGAGGTGTTTGACAATTCCAGGCTTGAGGAGGCTGTTATGTTCGGTGGATAGGATTTGGTTTGATGGAGCTCTGAGCTATGGCCCTGGTCAGGGGTCTGTGTCCTAGAATGCCATAGGCGCAAAGAAACCTCCAGTTTCATATTGGCGTAGCATGCAGTTGCTGAAAATATCTTTTACGGCAAAGAACTGAGAGTCTTGCCTTTCTGGCTGTGGGTATAACTCTAGGAAATGCTGGAGCAATGCCAAAGGGAATCTTTGAAGCTGAGTAAAGCTTCCAAGGATAGTTTTTCTGGGCCTGCATGGTGGTGAGGGGGAAGCCCATGTCCGTAGAATTGGCATAGTTGGGCCTCTGTCAGAAGTGGCTTCTCTTGGAGTGCCCGGTGGCACAGACTCAGCCAGCTTGCGGAATTCACATGAGGGTGCCTTCAGCCTCTTCGCTGCCACCAGCCTTCCATGTTGGGCAGCTTTGCCTCCTGACGTTAATCACCTTTGCAACACTTGATTAAAGGCTTAGCTTTGACGGCCAGTGGCCAGCCCAGATAGAAAGAGAGTTCACCCTTCACAAATGGCACTTTGGCTCTGGTGAGTTTTCTGTAGACACGTGGCGCTCATTTGCTTGTGTCTGCCAGGAGACTGTGATTGGAGAAGATTGGAAACCTTAATTATGGGGTCAAGCAGAAGAAAACTTTCCCCAGCTGACAGCATGACTGCGAACCTGAAGCAATCAAAGAAGTATTATGTTGCCAAGTGTTTCGTTTGTGACAACACCTTTCTGCAGTTGTTCAGGGTAGTTTACAACTTTACATCATGTCAAATACGGTAGAAGCATCATTATGGGGTCAAGCAGAAGAACACTTTCCCCAGCTGACAGCATGACTGCAAACCTGAGGCAATCAAGGAAGTATTATGTTGCCAAGTGTTTCGTTTATGACTCAGGGTAGTTTACATCATGTCAAATACGGTAGAAGCATGACAGATAAAGTCATAACAACGTAAGGGATGGGGGTTGGCATCATGGCAGTGGACCATTCAGAGGCTGGCATCGCATGGGGGGGGTGTAATCGTGGCAGTGGACCATTCAGAGGCTGGCATCGGGTCTCTTTCCCATCTCCAAAGGTCTCAGTAATGGTAGGCTACTTTCCTACCTCCAAAGGTCTCAGTAATGGTAGGCTACTGGACCCCTTGCCTTGGTCTTTCTTGTCAGATGGTAATTGACGCTATAGTTTGCATGACCAAGTATCCCCATGGTGGACCCCTTGCCTTGGTCTTTCTTGTCAGATGGTAATTGACAGGTTTATAGCACGTTATAGTTTGCATGACCAAGTATCCCCATGGAAATTGCTCATGTGATTCTTACCTCTCCCTCAGCATGACGATGACAGCCAGGTTTGCCCCCCACTCTGACCTTGAATCTCAGCATGACCATGACAGCAGGGCCAGGTTTGCCCCCCACTCTGACCTTGAATAAATTTTTAGTTCAGCTCAGGGCACGTGGAGGATCTGTGTCACATTTTTCCACCTGGAAGCAGCAGCAGTGTTTCAGTTGTTTTACAATGCCTAACAGGAATTCTTTATTGATAATGCAGATTTTGGGGCTTCCTTGGATGCTGGAAGTCATAGATACTCTCCTGTGTTGTAACATGCTTGTACACCATCTCTGATGCATTTTGCTAACTTAGGAACTGTTTTGACCCTTTGTTGGTTACTTTTAGCATTGTCCCATGATTCTGTAACTCAGAGCGTGGATAATAGGCCAGCCTAGTGCGATGTGTCATCATAACTACATCTGTTGCCAAGTTGCTTGACTTCAGGTGACCCTAGTAGAGTTCTTGGCAACCCCAGTTGGAAAATTCATTTTAAAGCAAGGCTTTTAATTCTGTTTTGGGGAGTAATTTGTAGTTGATGATTCCCACAGTTGGCCTAATTTAGGTGCCATGGCAGACTGGGATAATTACAGATTAAGAGAGGGGTGCTGGAGCTGAAGGTGGTCCCTCTATACTGGAGCCATAGATAAGCTCTGATGTCTGCTCTGGGACAATATGTTTAGTGCTTGTGTATAACAACTCAAAAAGAACCACATAACTAGATAATGTCAGTAAGTAAATGCATCTGTTTTTAAAAAAATGTTTATAATTTTCACTTCACGCGCATGTAGTGAAAAGCCATAAAAATCATGATTTCATAAGTCGAAGATGAACAGCATTTCTGCAGCTAAGTTACAAGTCCATTCTCTGTTTGAAAAAGCAAGGAAACAAAAGACAAAGCAGGAGACTTGTGAATATGGTCTGTAGCCAGGATAATAGCTGAATAGGCCTAAACAACACTGGATCATAAGGCAGCAACAAATCCTGCTATAATACAGGTTTAAGATGTTGATTTGTTCGGGCGCATGAGCCAGCCAGCAGTTATACATGCCGCCATTGCTTTCGCTCTGGCTGTCATACAGAGTTATCTTGTTCTGGTTTGCTTACCTGCTCCCATGAAAACCATGGAGTATATTCTCTTCCCATTGAGCCAGGATTCCTAGCTCCTTATTCCAAGTCTAAATGTTGCCCTTCCATAAATCGCCACAAGTAAAAACTGGGGTTACCCTATTTTCCTGAGCTGCTGCTCCTTCAGAGAGTACGAAGCACGGCTAGAGAAATACAGCCAGAGAATATGGACCTGCAAAAGTACCGGAAGCAGCCAGCTGACGCACAAAGAGGCCTGGGAGGAGGAGCAGGAAGTTGCCGAGCTGTAAGTAGCAAAATCTCCAATGCCTGTTTTATTTGAAACCGGGTATGCCTTGCTGTGAAATGTCCACAGAATAAATGAGTCATGCGTGAGTCAGTGCTCATCCTCTAAATAGGCCTCCAGCAAGAGCACCCAAAGGCCTGTGTTTTGATGTCTTGGGACAGCCCTTCTTAAAACTCAAGGCTGCTTTCTTAACAGTATTTCAGCCTGGGTCTCGTCTTGCCTCTTTCTCTGTGTGTGGGAGGGGGTACAGACTGACTGACCGACTTCATTCGAGGTGGGTGTTGATAAATACGCAGCGCCTGTGTTGTAAATTTCGTTGCTTTCCTTTACATTTTTCCTTAGCCTTGTTCCATGAAACCTAGATAGTTATCAGGCAAATAGAAATCACGCTGTATCACAGTACGATAGAAACTGATGCGTATCTAAGAACCCTGAAAGGACAGACTTGGTGAAAACCCATCACACGCCAACGGCTTTCTGAACAAGAGCTTACCATGTGTGGGATGTTCATATTTAAAAGCAGTTGTTACCAGCCCATTTTTTCTTTCGTAAATAGGAACTGTATGTCTTTCAGAAGTAGCCTCCTTTCTTCTGTACAGACAATACTTACCCTGTGAGAACTAGGCCACAAGGTTCCACCTTGGTTTGACCAATATCCTCCTGACAGAATGGCTGGAAACCCTGATGCTGAAGTCTTGTAATTACGTAACAAGGCAGGATAAAGCATGCAGGACTGCTTCCTTATTTCACTTGGTCACTTTTTAATATTTTATTTATAGGTTTGTTATCCAGCACCCTGCCCTCCACCCCCATCATTTTGTAAGGTGCCTTGGTTCCTTGAATTGGGAGTGAATGAATGAATAAAAATAAACCCATTGTTTTCTTTCTTTCTACCTAAACAGAAGGAAAAGAACTTGGATAAAGCATGCAGGACTGCTTCCTTATTTCACTTGGTCACTTTTTAATATTTTATTTATAGGTTTGTTATCCAGCACCCTGCCCTCCACCCCCATCATTTTGTAAGGTGCCTTGGTTCCTTGAATTGGGAGTGAATGAATGAATAAAAATAAACCCATTGTTTTCTTTCTTTCTACCTAAACAGAAGGAAAAGAACTTCTGTATCGCTGTTGGCATATTCCAGTATTGCTTAACAAGCAGTGGTTTGTGCATGTGTGTGAGAGAGAGAGACCGGTTTCTTAGTCCTGGTGGTGTTTAAGCGGTGAATGGTCTCTTGTGTTGGATTTTGGTCCTGTGAGCTCACTTGTGCCCATTGCACAACAGTTGCCATTTAAGTACTTACCTGTGTGTTTTCTCTTCTTCAGCTTGAAAGAGGAATTCCCTGTCTGGTATGAGAAACTTGTCCTGGAAATGGTTCACCACAACACCATCTCTTTAGAAAAACTGGTGGACTCTTCCTGGCTGGAGATCATGACCAAGTTTGCTGTGGGAGAAGAGTGTGACTTTGAGGTAAGGCCCGAGGGCAGAATATGGGTTAAATTAAGCAGAATTCTTGGAGATTCCTTTCTCTCTCTCCCTACCCCCACCCCCACCCCCTGGACTTGCTTATTTTGGAATCCATTTACCTTTCTAAAGTAGTTGGTATAGCTTAGTCAGATGGTGGGAGCCCACTCGCCTGTGTAATTGGTTTCATAGGCTTTTGAGAAGAGAAGTAATGAGATATTTAAGAGGCGAAAGAGGGAGGGAAATCAAAGTCCCTGGATAGCGCAATTGACAAGGTAGCATGGTTCACAAGGATGAACAAGTGGACAGGTTCCCTGTAGTGAGGAGTGTCTTCTGGTCAGCTGTGCAGTGATCACAGTGGGGCTCAGTTGCCTGAGAATTCGCTTCAGCAGACAGGAAGGAAAACATTTAAAAAATGTAAGCATGATGGTAGTTGTGATATTTACAAAAGTCTGAAATGGGTTTTGATTATGGTTGGTGTAGCTTTTTATCTGTTGAGTGGTGGCTTTCTTTTGTGGTATGTGAATTATTGCATTGGCCACTTGCAGAGGTTTGTGGGAGAAACTGTGTGGCCTTTTGCCAATGGCCAGCTTGTTGCCCAGATGCCAGACCACCACCGTTTCGTGTGGCCTAAGTTCAGCATTGCGTATCCCTCCAGATGGGGCTGGGCCGCAAATCCCTGCAGCAGCTCCCCCAAGCAAAACAAGGAGGGGGGGGGCTATACTACCTACCCCCATTGTGAAATGACCTTTACCAGCCTGGTCCCTTAGGCATTTTGGATTGAGAGTTCCCACCATCCCCAGGACCAAAGGACGATGAGAGTTTTAGTCGGTGCATCATTTTCAGGGCTGCAGGTTTCCCACCTTTGCTGTAACAGTCTCGCGGCTGTGTCCTTTGCACGGTTCTAATTTTCCGGCCTGTTTCAGGTTGGGAAAGACAAGGTGCTGCGGGTGAAGGTGGTGAAAATACACCCCCTGGAGAAGGCCACAGAAGAGGAAGCAAGTGAGAAGAAAGCAGACGGTGCCTGTGATTCGCCCTCCAGCGACAAAGAGAATTCAAGCCAGGTGGCCCAGGATAACCAGAAGGAGACAGTCACGAAGGAAGAGGAAAGCAGGAGGGACAGTCTGAGTGAGTCATGAAGCAAGGCCTTAGCCAAAGGGCGCCAGGCAGAGCTGAAACACTGAGGTTGCCTTTGGGATCAGGAAGCGGCCACTGGATTTCTGGGCTCTTTCTGCTCTATACTGCCTCCCAGGCCAGGGTCACTCTGTGCTCCCAAAAACTGATGAGGGTCTATGTTGCCACCCTCTTTTGGCTGGGTTACCAACTGTAACATACCTTGGGGGGCCAAGGGGGTGGTTCTGGTCTGTCTCCTCTAGAGGGTTAAATCAGTGCGTCTAGTTGATTTCAAAACTCTGTGTGCTATCTTTTACCTGCTCTTGGGATTTGCCGATGATGGCCACCGACTTAGGTGGCTTGAAACGAACAGAAATAGCAGCGTCTAGTTGATTTCAAAACTGTGTGCTATCTTTTACCCGCTCTTGGGATTTGTTAATGCTGGCCACCAGCTTAGGTGGCTTGAAACGAACAGAAATAGCCACAGGATGGAAGAACCGGTCTGTCCATAACTCTTCAGTCCTGGTGGTTCTGTCGGCTGTGTGCGCTGAATATAGTGGGGGTTTCTGATCCTTCGGACCACTTGTAGGCTGTCCGGAGGCTTGCTTGCACAGTGCTGGACTGAGAAAGAACCTTTGATGTGGTCCTGCAAAGTGTGCATGATGTAGTCCCCTTTTAGAAACCCTTAGACTGGCCATCTGGTCTACTTGCCTTTGGAGATTGGTCTGTGGTTTTTTTCCCTTGACCATCTGTGCTTGTCACAAGCGCTCCGCTCCACTCCTGATTAGCATTTTTCATAGTTGGGTCTCTCGGTCCCTTGAAGCCAACAACACTCCCCTCTCTTTTTCCGTCTCACACTCGGACAGGTGATCGGGCACGCCGCTCGCCTCGGAAGCTTCCCACTTCCCTGAAGAAGGAAGAGAAGAAGTGGGTTCCTCCCAAATTTTTGCCACACAAATACGATGTCAAGCTGCAAAACGAGGACAAGGTGAGGTGCCAGCTTTTGGCCTCCCTGTGCAAAGGGATGGGGCTTAACTGGCAGGGCAATTGAAAACATCAGCAATCTGGTGACGCAAGAAGGTTGCGTGGGCGTTGCGGTTGCTCAGCCAGGAGCCGTTCCCTGTTAAAGCAGCCGTTTAATGGTGAATAGCTGAAAGCCAGCGGCGAGCCGGGATGCATAGAGGCTTCTTTCTCTTTCTCCCCCAGATCATCAGCAATGTGCCAGTGGAGAGCTTAGTCCGTACCGAGCGTCCCCCCAACAAGGAGATTCTGCGCTACTTCATCCGCCACAACGCGCTCCGGGCTGGAACGGGCGAGAACGCCCCCTGGGTGGTCGAGGACGAGTTGGTGAAGAAATACTCCCTTCCCAGCAAGTTCAGTGACTTCTTGCTTGACCCACATAAAGTGAGGAATGAGGCGAGATCTGTCTGTGTTGTGGGAAAAGAGAACAAGGACAGAAGCCCCCTTCTGTGACGGGTGGTGATTCTTGGCCTCTTTGAAACTCTGGGGTGGGTGGGCTGGGGAGGTAGATCTTTGCTCCTCCTGCCACCTTTTCTCCCTGAGAGTCAGGACGCCAGGCCAGCAGGGAGAAAAGAGCCTCAATTGAAAGGAAACCTCAACACCAGGTGTGGTGGCCTCATAGGCTGGTCCTCCTTGCATCCTGTCTTGAGGTGAGGCACTGAGGATGAACGGCTAGGACAGGGAACCGCAAAGGGGGAAAACTGGGTATTGAGGATGAACGGCTAGGACATTGCAGGGAACCGCAAAGGGGGAAAACTGGGTATTACATACAATGGTGCCTCGCTTAACGAGCGCCTCGGTTAACAACGAATCCGCATAGCGACGGATTTTTTGTGATCGCAAAAGCAATCACATAATGATGTTTCTAATGGGGTAAAAAATCGCTTTGCGATGATTGGTAAGCTGTTTTGCCAATTTCCGCATAGCGATGTTTTAAAAACAGCTGATTGGCGGTTCCAAAATGGCCGCCGGGAAAAAATGGCCACCCGCTGTGTTTTTGCGCCGATTCCTCACATACCAGGCAACGAAAATGGTGGCCATATGGAGGATTTTCGCTTAAAGGTGAGTTTTAAGCCCATAGGAATGCATTAAACGGGGTTTAATGCATTCCTATGGGCTTTTTCTTTTCGCATAGTGACGAATCCGGATAGCGACGATTTTTCCGGAATGGATTATCGTCGCTATGCGGGGCACCACTGAAACCAGCAGTAATCTATAATGTGATGACACTCTAGAGCAAGTTTTGAATCGAGTAGGATAGGTGGGGAATAACATGCCCCTCCCACCTGTTGCCTTAGCGGCCAATTTCTGCCTGCAGTCCAGTTCTAGAGACCATCAGGACACCTTGCCTGTGCTCAGGAATTCTTCCAGTTGCACAGAATCTCTCATTTTTGCACAGGAGCATTTAAAATAAAACCCTACATCTGAATCTTCCTGTCTTGTGGGTTTAGCGTCCAGGAGCCTGCTTGAGACCAGTCCCCAAACGCCTGCTCTAGGAGGCTCTGAGAGAAATAACCATTGCAGGCCCTGGAACTCCACATTCAACTGTAGATGCAGGAACTGATCATTTTGTTTCCCCTTGGATTCCAGTACCTGACGCTCAATCCCTCCACTAAGAGGAAGAGCGCTTCGTCGCCCGACCGGAAGCCCTCCAAGAAGCCCAAATCTGACGGCTCTCCGGCAGGCCAGGGGCTGAGCACCTCCCTGTGGTGCAGTGTGCATTTGAAGAAGACCATAGTTGGCTCCCCGCTGAAAACCAAGAACGCCAAGACCCCCACCGAGGAGCTGGAGGAAGTGATGAAGATGATGTCCCCTGGGCGGCTGGGCGGCAACCTGAACAAGAAGCGGTTGGGGAAGTCTCTGGAGCCCAAGCAGCCGAAGCAGAAGAAGAAGCTGATGAACGGGCAGAAATCTTCGGGGAAGTCCCGGTCTCCCAAGAAGGATTCCAAGATGAAGATGAAGCAGATGACGCTGCTGGACATGACCAAGGGCCCGGCGAAGGTGTCGAGGGCGCCCAGGAGTTCCGGGGGCAGCCCCAGGGCCTCCAGCAAACCTCCCAAGCACCTCCCTCCCGCCGCCCTTCACCTCATCGCCTACTACCGAGAGAACAAAGACCGGGAGGACAAGAAGAGCGCCCTGTCCTGCATCATCTCCAAAACGGCCCGGCTGCTGTCCAGCGAGGACCGCGCCCGTCTCCCCGAAGAGTTGCGGGGGATTGTGCAGAAGCGCTATGAGCTCCTGGAGCACCGGAAGAACTGGGCCTCCATGACGGAGGATCAGCGGAAGGAGTACCTGAAGAAGAAGCGGGAGAAGCTGAAGGAGAAGCTGAAGGAGAAAGCCCGAGAGCGGCGCGAGAAGGAGATGCTGGAGAGGCTGGAGAAGCAGAAGCGCTACGAGGATCAGGACCTCAAAGGGAGCCTCCTGCCCACTTTCAAGCTGGTGGACACCCCGGAAGGGCTGCCCAACACCCTCTTTGGGGACGTGGCCATGGTGGTGGAGTTCCTCAGCTGCTACTCGGGGCTGCTGCTGCCGGACGCCCAGTACCCCATCACCGCCGTTTCCCTCATGGAAGCCCTGTGTGCCGAGAAAGGGGGATTTCTCTACTTGAACAGAATTCTGGTCATCCTCCTGCAGACGCTGCTGCAAGATGAGATCGCGGAAGACTATCTCGAGCTGGGGATGAAGCTGTCCGAGATCCCCCTGACCCTCCACTCCGTCTCCGAGCTGGTCCGCCTCTGCCTGCGCAAGTCCGACGCGCAGGAAGAGAGCGATGCTTCCGACAACCCGGAGGAGAACAAAGACCTGGCCGCCTTCGAGGACAACGAGGTGCAGGACGAGTTCCTGGAGAAGCTGGAGACCTCAGAGTTCTTCGAGCTGAGCTGCGAGGAGAAGCTGCAGATCCTCACGGCCCTTTGCCACCGCATCCTGATGACCTACTCTGTGCAGGATCACGTGGAGGCCAAGCAGCAGGCGTCGGCGGAGCTCTGGAAGGAGCGGCTGGCCGTGCTGAAGGAGGAGAACGACAAGAAGAGGGCCGAGAAGCAGAAGCGGAAAGAGATGGTGGCCAAGAACAAAGAGAACAGCAAGGAGGAGAACGGCCTGGGGAAGGGGGAGAGGAAGAAAGCCGGGGAGGTGGAGAAGGTGGCCAAGGCTGAGCCGCGCGTGGAAGTGGAGGCCACCGAGGACATGATCAGCACCGTCAAGAGCAGGCGCCTCCTGGCCATCCAGGCCAAGAAAGAGAAAGAGCAGCAGGAAATGCAAATGAGAGGTAATTGCTGGGAAAGCTTGAAAACGGGCAGGGGTTAAAGGGCCCAGAAGCACCTTACAAGAAGGGGTTGTGGTTCCAGGGAGTGGGGAGAAGGCTGTGGTGGGGGTTAAAGGGCCAATAAAAAACACCTTACAAGAAGGGGTTGGGTTCCATTGGTTCCAGGGAGTGGGGAGAAGGCTGTGGAGCATAGAGACAGCCAGCTCCGAGCTCTTTGCACGGAGAGTCCTTCCCGAGCATCTGGGCCTTATAAGAACCAAAAATCATGATAAGCACAAGAGACAAGAATGTGGTGGCACCTTTAAAAACGAACGACTGTCATTTCACGAGAGCCTTTGTGGATCAAGGCCACTTCTTCAGACCCGTAGAAGCCCACCAGACTCAGAGTTTAGGATGTGTGCTATGGATGCGATTGTTGTGCTGGGCGTCAGCCCGTCTGAACCCAGAAGGCCACCAGCTCTCAGCCTTGCCTGTGAGGAAGCGCCCAAAGGATGGAGGGAGACTTAGCCTTGTTCCATGGAGTGCCGTTCCTTGGCCAGTCCCTCTGTCAAAGGCGAGCCAGTCAGTTTATTAACTGGTAACTACCGTTATTTTGCGGGGAGCTCATTGGGTTTCTGTTTCCTACCCCACCCCTTCTCAGTAAAACTGGAGCGGGAAGCAGAAGAGGAGAGAATTCGCAAGCATAAAGCTGCCGCAGAAAAGGCCTTTCAAGACGGTATCGCCAAAGCCAAGCTGGTGATGCGCAGGACGCCCATCGGCACAGACCGGAATCACAACCGGTGAGAGGGAAGAGCTTCTTGGGCCTGGCTGGGAACTCCAGAAGGCCTCACACAGGCTTGGTCCCCTGCGTCGCCTTGTCTTCTCTGTGTGGCAGTGGCTGCTCCCCAAAGGGTGTGGGTCAGGGGGAGATCTTTCTGTGCCCCAGAAATGCTGCAAGGGGTTGTTCCTGCATGACTTCCTGTAGATGGTGAGGTTGCTCTCGACTCTGGTTCTCCTTAGTCCAGTTTTGAGCGTGCATGTCTTGCTCAACCCTTGTCCCGTTTTCTTCTGGACCTCCTGTAATTGGTTCTTGACTTGATGCCCTTCTTACCCCCAGTGCGCCACCCTCACCCTTGTGCGTAGGCCCTTAGGAGCATCCTCCAGACATCTTTGCTTTGGCACAGATACAGGCCAGCCCTGCGCTCTGCAATGAGGGCTGGGCAGAGAATTGCCTTCTGAACATTTCATAGAGCAGAGCAGCTGAGCTTGTGTTTGAGGCAGGATGTGGGAGTCTGAACCGAGCCTCTTACGTTTGGCATCACTAGGTACTGGCTCTTCTCAGACGAGGTTCCTGGGCTGTTCATCGAGAAGGGTTGGGTGCACGACGGGATTGACTATAGTTTTACGCCTCCTGAGGAGGAGGGTGAAGAAGAGGAGGAGGAGGAAGAGGAAGAAGACCAACAAGGTATGTCTGATTTCTCTGCCATCCTTTCTTAGTCAAGTAAAGTTGTTTGTCTGCATTGTATACTTGTAATGTGACAGAACCTTTCCGCTGCTGCTCAGTAGTGAGACGGAACATGTGAAGAATTCTGCATTGATCGCGATTTATGCTGATCAAACAAAGTCGTTAAAGTACGGCCATGTTAGTTTTATGTCTCGTATAAGTAACAAAATCTTTTCTTCCCAGCAGCACTATGTTGTGGAATTGAAATACAGTGGTGCCTCACGCAACGGTCGCTCCGTAGAGCGACGAATCCGCGCAACGATGCTGTTTTTGTGATCGCAAAACGACACCTAGATAGGGGAAAATTCACAGAGTGAAGGTCGGTAAGCGGTTCGCTTACTGACCTTCTCTTTGCGACCCGCCGA